CTTCCTCACATTTAATTCAATTCGTTGTCCTTTTCTACTTTCTGGGGCTTCCCTTTTGATTTAATGTCTAATGCCAACCTGGGTCTAGGGCTAGGCTATTTTGGCTTCAGGTACAGAATATATAGATATAGATATTTATTTATTTATTTATTTATTCGATTTATATCCCGCCCGTCTCCTTACCGGACTCAGGGCGGCTGACAGCCTTATAAAACCAATGCTACAATAAATACCTAATTTAAAACCGAATTAAAAAGAAATATTTGCTATGGCCTATATAATTAAAATTTCTCTTAAAAACCCCACTAAAATTCCCTAGGCCAATCCCGCTTGTTGGAAGAGCCATGTCTTTAGGGCGCGGCGGAAGGAGGGGNGAAGGAGGGGAGATCCGGGATCACCCGGATCTCTGGGGGTAGTTCGTTCCAGAGGGTGGGGGCTCCCACCGAGAAGGCCCTCCCCCTGGAGGTCGCCAGCCGGCACTGTCTGGCTGATGGCACCCTGAGGAGACCCACTCTGTGGGAGCGTACCGGCCGATGGGAGGTAATCTGCGGCAGAAGGCGGTCTCGGAGATATAGATATAGATATAGATACAGATATCATAAAGTAAATCAATCACGACCACCAGGAAAATCCAAACTGGAAAAAATTTAATAAATACCGAGCTTTCGTCGGAGACTTCCAACATCGTCAGGATTTAAGGCTAGATAATGGGAACAGCTTATATAGAATTAACCAGCGCTAGCTTATATTGTTCCCAAGAAGATGGCAGCATTTAGCTGACCCCTGGCTAATTTTTTTAAAAGAACGAAGAATTGGAGCTACTGAATGGGAGACCACCGAAAGATCTCAGGGCAGTAGCTTAAATTGGGAAGGTTATGAAAATGCTGGATTTTTTTTAAAAAAAAGCTGCCCTGGGTTGTACTAAAGAAAATTGGGATGAAATTCTAATGGTAAATTAAAAATAAATAACGAGGACAACTCCAACATCATTTTCATCCATTACCGAGAAAATAATATAACAGAATAACAGAGTTGGAAGGGACCTTGGAGGTCATCTGGTCCAACCCCCTGCTCAGCCAGGAAACCCTATACCATTTCAGACAAATGGCTGTCCAGTCTCTTCTTAAAAACTTCCAGTGTGGGAGCATTCACCGCTTCTGGAGGCAGGTTGTTCCACTGGTTAATTGTTCTCACTGTCAGGAAGTTTCTCCTTAGTTCCAGGTTGCTTCTCTCCTTGATCAGTTTCCTTCCGTTGCTTCTTGTCCTGCCTTCAGGGGCTTTGGAGAATAGCTTGACTCCCTCTTCTTTGGGGCAGCCCCTGAGATATTGGAAGACTGCTATCGTGTCCCCCCTCGTCCTTCTCTTCATTAAACTAGACCCCCCCCAATTCCCACAACCGTTCTTTATATGTTTTATCCTCCAGTCCCCTGATCATCTTGTTTGCTCTTCTCTGCAGTTTGCTTTTATAGCCTCCGGTGTTTCTACAAACTAATACGAACGTACATTCAGTAGCTTTCTGCATATATAGTCAACAGCAAGACACCATGTCAATGGCATCCAATGTTATTCTAATATTAACCGTTTTGAAAGCTCTGTGTTCCTTTTATGGCTTCTAACTGTACCATGTTTCAGGCATCCAGAGATGGGATGGCTGAAGGGGTCAAGGAAAATTGAGTGTATTTACACAGCTGAAAAATTGCCTTCATTTAAAGATGGGCAAAGCTTTTTCCGGTCTTCATTTCTGATTTTTAAATTGACATGTGTGTGTATTTTAATGGGACAGACACTAGAAGATTACCCAATGCCTTCATCTGGCTGTAAAGCCATTTGCGTTTCAGAATTAATGAGGGCTAAACAGATTTATCGATAAAAATAGCTTGGCAGGAATAATTACCATCTGATACAAAAGAGAACGAGTCCATTGCCTTGTTATGAAAACGGTCCTAAATCACAATTTTTCAGTGCCCTGGGGAATTTGAACGGTCACTAAGCAAACTGCTGTAAGGTGAGGACTACCTGTACTGTGTCCCGCAGGGATCTTCCCTCGTGATAATAAAATAAAATAAAATAAATAGAATAAAATGAATAAAATAAAATAAATAGAATAAAATGAATAAAAGAAAAGAAAAGAATAAAATAAATAAAATAAAATAAAATAATAAATAGAATAAAATGAATAAAAAATAGAATAAAATAAATAAAATAATAAAATAAAATAATAAAATAAAATAAAAAAAATAGAATAGAATAAGATAAAATAAAATAAAATAAAATAAAAAGAATAAAATAATAAAATAAAATAAAATAAAATAGAATAAGATAAAATAAAATAAATAGAATAAAATAAAATAATAAAATAAAATATTGTCTATCTTAACTGAGAAACTCACACAGATCCTCCCCAAAGTGCTTTTTCAAAAAGGCAACTGGATTTTATTTTTGTTGGGTTTTTTTCTTTCAAAACATTTCGCTTCTTATCCAAGAAGCTTCTTCAGTTCTAGCTTCTGAACTCAGGAAACCTCTGGGATGAAAAGCGAAACATTTTCAAGGAAGCTGTTTTGAAGATCCCATAAACTTTCGAATTGAAAAAGCTTCTTGGATGAGAAGCGAAACATTTTCATAGGAAAAGAAACCACAAGAAAGTCCAGTTGCTTTGGGGGGGAAAAAGCACCTTTGGGACAACCGTGGCCTCGGATGACTGAGGCTCTCCAGAGACCTTCCCACAGATCTTAATTTAGGGAAGTTCTTCTTCTTCTTCTTCTTCTTCTTCTTCTTCTTCTTCTTCTTCTTCTTCTTCTTCTTCTTCTTCTTCTTCTTCTTCTTCTTCTTCTTCTTCTTCTTCTTCTTCTTCTTCTTCTTCTTCTTCTTCTTCTTCTTCTTCTTCTTCTTCTTCTTCTTCTCCTCCTCCTCCTCCTCCTCCTCCTCCTCCTCCTTCTCCTTCT